CTAGAACGGGAACGGGAACCAACTCATGCCACGCCGTAGATGCTCGTTTACATCTACCCTTCGGCAAGTAAGTCTCTTCACAAGGGTCGGGCTGGCGAACTGTTGGCACGAGCCCTGATTGTCGACTCTGAGCTCTTAGACGTACACCATCGCGGTTGGGTCGGTTAACAGTCACTTGGGGGCCGTCATAGATGCGTGGAGGATTCGTTTGACTCAATCGTATTCGAACTTCCATGTCAGGTCTTGAGACTTCATTCCTAGGCTTCAATCACCGTATGCGTGACTCCATTCCTCTCACTCCCTCACTTCAGTAAACCCTACTCGAAGAGTTTGTCTGGTTCGTATTCTGTCAATGTGGGTACTGTAACAACATTCCGCGGGCCTACTCTGAGTGTAAATCATCCTTCAGTAGCGGCACAGCTTCAATATTGCCTAGTTGCCACTCGGGTTGGCGATTGCGGCGATTGTTTCATCTTCCCGACCATTCCATGATTAATATCTTCAAGTGTTGGACTCACACGGGTCGCGATCTCGAGGCGTCATACGCGGCTCGAAGAAAAGGCTGGCCAGGGCTTGAACAAACGATTGTCTTGGCAGGGACGTGTATCGCGAGTCTCACGGACTCATCATTGGCCCAGGTTACCAGGCAGATGGCAGTTCAGCGGGGCTCAAGCGGCCGAGCGGTCTCGGGCCGCAGTGCGTTGCATTGTACGACGGCACATGTGAATCACGGACAATAGTCAGGGACGTGGTTGAGTCCGTCCTGAGGTGACGGCGGGTTGCTCAGGCGGTCTGTTCAAACAGTAAAAATTGGTCACTTGAGAGTCACCTTCACTTCCCATCGGCCTGCCGCGATTGCACCGCCGCCTCCCACCCTTTCTCCCACTTATAACCCGCCTCCGCTCACCTCCCTCGAGACTTTCTTAACAACAGACTGAACTCTCGTCAACAGCAGTGCAGCCGACCGTCCTTCAACAGTCGTCCCTCTACTACTAATACATCTACCCACGGACTCAGTCAACATGTCCACCGACTATATGATCAAGACCCCCGACACCGCCGCTGGCGCTACCTTTACGCCTGAGGTCACTCAAGCCGACAGCATTCGCAGCAAGATGTCTGTCGACAACCTCGTCGAGAGCCCGAGTGATTCTCCTGACATCACCTCGGCGCTCATACTTGCACCACCCTCCACTCCCAAGTCGACCAAGGAAGAGCCTTCATCGCCCACTGTCAAGACTCCTGACACCGTCATGACCGACCTCGTAAGTGCAAAGCCCCCCATCTGCACGCATCTCGCGCAATGTGCGCAGTCACCACTTCACCATTGAATCCACAGACTGACCGAGTATCAACTGAGTAAAGGCCGAGCCCGACGCCTCTGGTGATGAGTCTCTCGACGACGGCGAAGACGTGCCCGACTCCCAGCGCGAGTTCCTCTGCATGAACGACGAGCACACTCGCTGCATGACTGGCCAGTACACCAAGGACCTGTCGCGCAAGGTCATCTCCGACCACTTTGGCCGCAACAAAGCGTGTACCCGCGACGTGACCGACTGGCCTCTCTTCTGCCGCAAGCACTACCAGCGCGCGACCTACAACAAGACCAAGTGGCAGATCCGCAAAGTGCAGCTCATCCTCCGTCAGTTCGAAGTCATCGAGAAGCAGTTCCCAGGCACCACCTACGACATCGCCTTCAAGAAGTCCGAGGAAGCGCGTCTAAACCACTACTCCCGTCAAGTCGCCGCCGGAGCCAAGAACGACCAAGCCGAGAAGAGTGTCCACCCCAAGATCGGCAAGCACTTCGAGGCGCCCATCGACGTCCTCCGCGAGCTAGACCAGTGGCTCGGCTTCAACAAGACGTACGCAGAAGTCAAGAAGATCGTCGATGTCATCCTCCAGATGCTCGAGGAGAAGGAGACCGAACAAGTTCCGTCCATCGAGTTCCTCCCCAAGCTCCCTGGCAAGACTCCGTCGCCCAAGAAGACCCCAGCCAAAGCCCGCACACCCAAGTCGCCCAAGTCACCCAAGTCACCCGCCAAGTCGCCCAAGACACCTACCCGCGTCTCCAACAAGGGTTCCGTCAAGAAGACTTCAGCAAAGGCTTAGTTCCACCATGGCATCGCTGCGCCCAGCATCGCGACCACCGTCGCATCACGTCACTCCTTCATCCCATTGCCATTGCTTTCACGGTCTCTCAGCGGTTGAGCTACCGACACTCTAATCTTCCTTTGAGTGTCCTAGCAACATGCACGCACTACTACCATCTTCACTAGATTCACAGCATCTGCAATTTCCACTCTTTCGATTCACATGTCTGGCACCATCACGACTGTCTTCGCACACGCTATATGCTGTCGCCCCTCATGTATCAGCGTTTTCCAACGCGGGACACAAGACTGTTCGTATGGGCGATGGCCGAACATGTACTCACTCACGGCATGGGTGTTTTCTTTTTACTTCTATACCCTCATCTTACGATGGCGACTTGTCTTGTCTTGTCTTGTCTCTTGCATTATAGGTAGATTTTGGCGGGCGTTTAGGCATATGGTGTCTTTTCTGGGGGTTGGAGTCAGGGTGTGGGCATGGGTTCGGCCTCACTGGGTCTGTGGTGTTATGGTTCAAGGTTGGGGCGTTGGGTATATACTACGGTAATCAAATTCAAATCTCTCGTTAGAAATGTGGATTGTTGCATTCCCCGCCTTCCTCGTCGTGACGCTGACGTTACGGTTGGCATTGACATCGACATCGCCATCGACGTTGGCGCTCCATGCACTGTCGTCACTCACGTTACACACATTATCTGCAAACTCCCGTTCCTGCATATGCACCATGCATCCCCGGACGGCTATTGCCTCGTCTGCATGTGTGTCACCGATACTGTCTACCGCCTGCCCCCGCCCTGTAGACGCACGCTCTTTGGTGTGTACCTGCATTTTGAGTCAGACTTCGGGGGCGGTCCTTTTCCGTTGTGACTGTGCCGCAGCGCGCTGCCGAGCTTGACTGGTTGGTGAGGCTGGCCCCCTCGTGCAGGCGCTTTCCCCCACATGCAATGCATCCTGCGAGTCGGGCCGAGGGTGTGGCGCGGGTTTGTGTCTCACTGCGGTGCTTGGGCGCGTGATGGTAATGGGCATATGGGGATAGGTGTGGTGTGGTGATCGTTGCTGCATTTGCTATGCGAATGTGTTCTCTGACGGACATTTCCGATGGCGTCTGAGTTCAGCTGCGACATCTCACCGCGTGCTCCTCAGCTTCTCGAGGTGAGGGGAGCAGCTCGACGATGCTAGTCGCCTTGACCTGGGGGGAAGGTTGCATATAAGAAACTTGCTTAATCATGACGGCCTTCTCACAACTTACACTTGCATCTACCCCATCTCGTGCAAACTTCTACTACTGCTCCATCATCCCTCTGCCCCATGCTCCCCAAGATGAGCGATAAGAACATCGAGCCCTGTGGGACTTGGAACGGCGATTTCTCATGGGACGGCTACTTCATGCGAATGCACATGAAGACAGTCACTCAGACGTACGACATGTACAACCCCAGCACTTGGCCGTTAGTGAGCCAGATCGCCGCAACAGAGAACAACTTCAACTACAGGAAGAGCAAGATTCCTCCCGAATATCTGGTATACGAGCAGACGCTCATCAAAGACATAGACGGGCTTCGACCTCTCCAAGGCCAGCGAGCAATTACCCGTCGAAAGAATCGAGTCATGAAGAACCTCTTTCGCTACTACCCGCTCAACTATGACCGCAACGGCGAATTGAGAGCGCATCCGCATATACCATCTGACGAACTGGAGGAGTGGATGAGTCAAGTCAAAAAGAGCAACCCGATTGCGAAGAAAGAGGAGGACGTCAAGGATGTGCTAGTGACCAGCAATAAGACTGAAGAGGTTACTGAGAATGACTCGCCCGAAACAGCAGCTATTCATGAGATCATGAAGATGTTGGAAGACACAGATACAATGCCCAACAGCAGGGTGACTGAACTGGAAGAAGAACTCGACAAGACCAAGAAAAAGAGCCTAGAGGCCGATATCAGAGCGGAGAGCGCAGAAAAGAAGGTTACTGTAATGACAGCCAAATACCAAACGGCCGTTCAAAGATTCTCCGCCCAGGTTGGAGAAGCGCTCTGCGAGTACAAGGAACAGTCGCACAAGCTCCTTTGCCAAGAGCGCGCCAATCTCGGTACCCTGAAAGAGATATTGGGGAAGAAGGAAGATGAGATCGCCAGTCTGCAATCGGACCTCAAGAAGAGTGGCGAAGACGTTTTGACAGCGAAACAGGAGACCAAGGTGGCAAAGCAGCAAATCTTCAAGATTTTGGAAGAGATGAAGAAAAAGAAACAGGGTACAGCTTTGCAGAAGAAGATAGCGGAGGAGGATGGGGCAGAAGCAGCACGAAAGAAGCCGAAGATTGAGAGTTGCGAAATGCAGTAGCAACATGAGTGACGTGTGCGCGCGTCCGGTTCTTGGTTCCTGTGTATGCTGGCTTATTTGGCAAAAAAGATTTGGATGCGGCATTCGGTGTGGAACCACCGAGTCACCAAAGACCTGGCTGCGCCATGTGGATTTAGCTCGGCAATACATTGTTTTGGATCTTTCATCCCTGCCTCTAGTTAGTTCAGGAGACTCGTCGGTAGAGTGGCATCGGTCAGCCTCGTGTCTTTGTCTCCTACTCTTATCTTCCGTAGATTTACGGATCTTGCGGTCAACACGAGGAATATACCAAGGTTCCATGGCAACCAGTGGTGAAGATGGCTCGAGGTGAAGGTGAACGAGGAGCGCTCACCCTCTCACCGCGAATTTCCCAGACTAACCGAAAGGGCGGGCGTTTGATCACGACGAGCGACTCTTATGGCTAGCAAAGTTTCTCCTGCTTCTTCCAACTGACAGCAGCAGCATCACACCCCTCGTTTCGCGTTAGCAACTCTCAAGGTAGGTCAAGTATGAGCGTCAGCGCAGCACAAATGGCTAACACGGCCGCGACGCAAGATGGCACCTCTTCCGCGCTATGAGGGCACCTTCAGCTTCGTCTCATCAAGGTTATACGCGAGCATCAAGCGCGCCATCCCTACCTACGACAAGGAAGACCCAAAGACCTGGCCATATGTCACTCTGTCAACAATCGAGAAACTCCGTCCATACCAAGGATTTCCGGATCTGCCTACAGGCGTAGCCTACCAACGAGAAGCGATGAAGCGATACGAAGACATGTACACACCACAAGAGCGAGCAACTGCCGCATCCGTGAACGGTCCCTTGCATCAGCGGTATCCGTACAACTACGACCGATTCGACGAGCCGAAAGAGAAAGTCGGTATGTCGGGGGCTGAGTATCGCAGCTACGTGGCGAATACAACTCCAATGCCGTCTACACCACGCGTGCACGAGCGCGAAGAATGGGAGCAAGACATCCCCGACAGCGCAATCGACTGCTCCACGCCTTCAGCTGGACGCATGCCCTGCCTGTCTCCCACACCAGCAACCCGCACCCAACCCCCCTCCCACTGCACCAACAAAACCTGCACAGACACCCGCCGCGAAGCAGCCAGACTCCGCGGCACCCTCTTCGACAAAGACTCCCAACTCCTCAGCTGCCAATCCGATCTCAAAGAATACGAAACAACCGAGAAGTTGCGGCGACGAGCTTTGGAAGACGCGGAGTACGAGGTCGAGAAGGAGAGGCAACGGGCTGATGCTGCGGAGAGGGAATGTATGCTGCGTATGGAGGGGAATATTAGGTTACAGCAGCGCGTGAGGGAGTTGGAGGGAAGGGTGAAGCAGGCGCAGGATTTGGATGGGTATTGTGTTGAGTTGGAGGGGGAGATTGAGAGGTTGAATGGGGTGCGGGAGGGGGAGGGGGAGGAGTCTGATGATTGTGATGATAGACTGCGCAAGAGGATGCGGTCTGAGAGTTTGTAGGAGGTCGCATGTTTGGGATGTCGCGGTCGCGTTCTCCCGATGCACGACTGCCGCGGAGACGCCGCACACGCGAGGTTTCGGCAGCGCTAGCCCGTTACGTTCCGAACGCCTTCCCCGCTCGATGCGTCATTGTCGTCAAGTGTCAAGTGTAGTTATAAACTCCGCTCTGCGTCACTCGATTAGGCAAGATATTTGCTCTGGCATTGCTCTGGACCGATGCACTGATTCTACATTTGTCAGACCACGCCCTACGGCTATATCTGCATTAGTACACGACACGAGAAGAGAGCCGTGTGACTAGTACACTGCAGAAAAAGAGCTCGTTGGGGAGAAACACTTACAGTTGACCTACGTTCCTGAGGTTCTGCGCAAGCCGTATAACCTTGACTGTTCGGTAATACAGCCAGCAACATGGCACTCCCAGCCACTACGCAGGTCGCGATCCTACTATCGATCTTCGTCTTACCCATTCTCACATACATCTATTTCACCAAGAACCAGCAAGCAAAGAGTAATGCTGGACCTTTGCCAGCAGCGACAGAGATCACAGGGCTCTTCATACACCCAATCAAGTCATGCCACGGCATCAGCGTAAAGTCGGCAAAGCTCTTACCAACAGGTCTTGATCTCGGTGCGCCTTTATTGTCATATCGAAGAAATGTAACATACTGACAGAGCCAGATCGTCAATGGATGTGGGTGAGCTACCCAAACTACGAGTTCCTTACGATCCGCCAAAACTCCAAAATGACACTGATCCGACCAACCTACGACGAGAAGACTGATACCCTTACCGTTACTGCACCAGCGCCGAATTCAGTTGATGAGAAGTTGGAGTTCTCCATCCCGGCTCATCCATCTAAGGAATGGCTCGACGAGAATACCGAGGAGCACTCGGCAAAGATATGGAGTACTACAACGGGAACCCGCGTGTACTCCACGAAGATGACCGCTCCCTTCAACAGCTTCTTTGATAAGGAAGTACGGCTCGTGTACAAGCCCCCTGTCTCCGAAGACCCCAGACCTCTAGTATCGAACGGTGCACCAGGCGTCCTAGGAAGAGACGCATCGACCTGTTTCCCCGACCTGATGCCCGTGCTCGTCGGCAACCAATCCAGCATCGATGAACTCAACACGCGTCTCAAAGCCGCAGAAGACCTCACAATCGACGTCCGCCGGTTCCGACCCAATATTCTCGTCAAGGGCGATGCTAACGCGCCCTGGGATGAAGATCGCTGGAAGACGATCAAGATTACACCTAACGCTGGTGACAAGCCGATCGTTCTAGATATCACCCAGCGATGTGCGCGTTGTCAGGTGCCTAATGTACATCCTGATTCGGCTGAGAAGCACAAGACGCAGCCTTGGGATGCGTTGATGAAATATAGGAGGATCGACGAGGGAATCACATACAAGCCCTGCTATGGTATGCTCGCTGTGCCGAAGTCGGTTGGGGATCTCAGGGTTGGCATGAAGTTTGAGGTTACTGAGGTTACGGATAAGCATCGGTATATCGCTGGATTCTAGGGGGTGGGGCTTGATGGATCGTGTCGATGAACCCTTACTGGCTGCTGCGTATATGGGGAGTCTGACCGACTGCCATCACAGCGCAAGCCATTGCGACACAGTTGTCGTACGACTCTCCACAAACGTTGTACGGATGATCAGATCAGCACACAATTTCTCTGCTGTCAGCCTCGAAAATCGAAAGAAGCTAGCAGTAAGCTGCCCGATTTAGCCTTTGGAAGATCCTAGGTGCATCGATTTGCAGCTCCTGAAATCTCTTCAGATGATTGTTGGAGATGTTGCCCAAGCTACAGCAATCATAAGCGGATCCCCACGTAGTTCACATGCGAACAGCCATGTGCAGCGGCAATTATGACGAGTGTTCCTGATGATCCATCGGATCTGCAAAGCAAAGACTGCCGAAGCGGCTCCGCCTCTAGCCCGCGTTGAGATTAGCGACGCGACGCGACAGACAGGGGTACGCCTATCATCGTGTCCATGGCTGACTTTCTCTTGAACTCAACTTCCCTCTAAGAAATGTAAGGGCTACACACAAGCCGTTTCCAACATGTTTCGCACAGTTGTGGATATACCTGTTGCGCGCGCGTGCAGAATGGCAGCGGCATTGTTTCGAAACAGAGAACTGCAACTCAGTGGAGATTACGCGCGTTCTTGATCGGACCGTGACGTGTGACGACGACTATCCGTGTTGAGACCCTGGCGTTTGGGACGCAGGGACACCAGACGGAAGGCACACAGAGGGGATACAGAAAGCGCGTCCCACCTGGCCGTCGACCAAGTATGACCAGTTCCGCTTCCAGCGAGGGAGTCACAGGTCGTCGAATCGCTCTTTCCTTTCCACACCCACCATGGCAGGCGATGCAATGCTGGCATTGCCAATGTCTCCGACAAAGTCGCCCAAAGAGTTTGGAACTGCCGCCGTGCAATGGGCGTGCACGCGAAGAGGGCGGATGATGGTCTTGACGATTGTACTTCTCACAGTCCTGCTTGGACTGACGGGTATGAGGAATCATGAGGTATGTACAACCTTCACAGACACCAGAGAAGACGACGTCGAGAATGCGACATATCCCACCAGACTTGAACGCCATCAGCGAGGTCCACGCTAACTCCAAAAGGCCATATCTTCACGATACCACAACTTCTCCTCGTACTACCCATGGCGACCGTATTTCCAGCCCCTGCCCGACATCGTACACTCGCCGTTCAAGACTCCCTCGAACACTACGCTGCAGATCGAGAATGGCGAACTCGACCACGTCCCGCCGAAACTCAAGAAGACGACGCCGAACTTCCATCTCCTTATGCCTGCCGAGCGCGACACAGATGGCTTCTGCAAGACGACACTGTCGGCTATGCTTCTCCACTACCCTCCACCAACTGCGGTACAGCTACACAAGGCATATGAGTCGGACATCAAGTGGGACAGGGATACACTCAACAGCACACTGCATTACCTGAGCAATGAGAAGCTGGTCAAGGACCATGACTTGGTTCTCATCGTGGACGGACAACACTCGATGTTCCAGCTACCAAGCGATGTGATTGTCACGCAGTACAAAAGGCTGCTGGCAGACGCCAACATGCGGCTGCTGAAGAAGTATGGCGTTAACAAAGAAGGTTACCAGAATTTCAACCAGACAATCGTGTTCGGCGCAGAGAAGATCTGTGAGAACGACGACATGGCGTGCAAGTACGTGCCTCAATCGATACTCTCGGACAATACATACGGAAGCGAGAACGGTCGACGCATATCAGATACCCCGGCGAAGTTCATTCACTCCAAGATGGTCATGGGTCCAGCCAGCGACTTGAAGATGCTTTACCAGTTTGCTCTGGAGAAGTTTATGGAGGGGAGAAGTCAGTCCCAGACCGTTCAGTCGGTATTCGCGACTCTCTTCGCCGAGCAGCAGCTGGGCAGAGATGCCGAGGAAGTGGCATCGAAGCATACGGGTACCAAAGTCAAAGAATACCTCACGGGCAGAGCGAGCACGTCAGAAGCCAAGCGAAGACTGGAGCGTGCCAGCGCTGAGTTCTCGAACACTACACGTCATGAGTTTTCTGTCGGTTTGGACTATACCCACGCGCTCTTCCAACCCTTGGACTACTGCGTCGAAGATGAACTCGCTCTTCTTTTGCATGACAACTCTACCGACTTGTCGCAATACAGTCGCTCCGACTCAGACCCCCGTTACCTGTCCCTACCCACTGCCCTCAACGAGACCAAGACCCCATTCTGGCGCCCCGACTTCGTCGAGCACAACCCGTCTCCCAACGAGAAGCCAGCATACATTGACAACCTAGAGTTTACGCTCGAACTCGATGGCTTGCCCAGCCGGAAACTACCCTGGGAAAGCATTCCCCTGATCCAGAACACCTACTCCGGTTCCGTCCCCGCCATAATCCTCAGCAGCTCCTCGCACTCCAGCGGTGAGCGTCCACCAGCCGCCAACATAACCTGGGACAACCTGTGGTACTCCGACCACAAACGTGCCATGCTGAGAAACTACTTCCGCGCGCCCCAGTCTTCAGACGGATACCACAACCACCTCGTCGGCGGCGATCGCTACTGGGACAACCGCGGCGGACGAGGCGGCATATGGACCGAAGCCGAGCAAACCTGGCTACCCTGGGGCGAAGTCGATGGCGTCTGTGGCACCCTGCCTCAACTCAAAGAAATCTTCAACGATGGTAAGGGTGTGTGGCTACATGAGCTCGAGCAGGACAACGAGCAAGGCCGCCTCAACGAAGAAGAGGACCATCGGCAAAAGCAAGAAGAAGCGCGACTCAAAGATATCGAAGAGTTGGTCAAGTTGGAGCAGGAGGCTAAAGAGAAGAACGAGCAGAAGGAGAAGGAGAGTATCGACTTTGAGAAGTTGAAGGAGCTTCAGGATATGGAGGCTGGAGAGGAGAAGAAGGTTGAGAGGAGGAGGAAGAGGTGGAATGTTGTGGAGGAGTGTGTAAGATATTGTTAGTGGGTGGGGGTTCTTTTATCTGTTATATATCCCGGGCTTTCGCCGTCTTTTCTTTTCTGTTTGTTTGATAGTTCATGCCTCTCCAGGTGCAATCTCATGATGTTTCTCGATTTTGGTAGTGTTGTTAAGTCGCTTTCATCGTGTCACTTGCGGTCTTGGTCAGAAGCGCCGGGTGTCATTTGGAAAAGACGTGGTGCAAGACACGAGACTTGGACACGTGCTCGAACAACAAGCCTCACAAATAATCCAAGAGACAGATATACTTCTTGATGCTACCTTGGTCACACTGCTACACAGGACTCACCAATGGCGACCGACGCGACCATGGCTACCGAACCAACCACGGCGCCTTACCCCTTCGTTTACATCTACATTGACGCGATGAGCTTCCCAGTAATTATACACACCCATTATGCGTTACCAGCCAGATGCTAACACGACCCAGTATGTCAACGAATTCGTCCAAAGCAACACTGAAGCCGATATAGGTCCGAGGCTGGAAGCCCTCATGCGTACCTGTCTCAAGAAGCGCTCGAAGAAGCGGCCGAATCTCGACCTAGAATCGTGCGTACTATGGGTAGACGTCCTCATAAAGGCGGAGAACGGGGATTGTCCACCGGCTATGCTCCGGTTCTGTGAGGACGTGACTGCCGTTCATGACTCGAAGATATTCTTGTTGATGGATGGCAAGCGCAGGGAAGGCGTACAGGGTAAGGTCTACCGTGGGAACGCTGTGATTTAAACCATATAGCTGACTATTGACAGACGAACCGGACGAGGTACCCAACGATCCAATGTGTCAATTTACGCTCCTCGCTACCCGGAGGCCAGATCAGCTTGAGGCATTCACGAGGAGGGATAGTAAATGTGTGATTACAGACGAGCTACCCGGCTACGTACCCGTCAACGAAGCTGGCCAGCGTGTCGACGAAAACATCGTTCAACGACCCGCCGACTACTGCTTTGACGACTATCTCGAACACAAACGCCGGAACGGTAGAGTTCGTAGCTGCTATCACTACCACCTGGGCGACGGATGCGACGGCGAGGAATGCCAATACGATCATAGCGAGATCACCGAGGACGTGTTGAGCGTGTTGTGTTTTCTAGGTCAGAGAACACACTGTGTATATGGCGGCGCGTGCCGACGTGTAAACTGCTTTTTTGGACATGCCTGTCGTTGGAAGGACTTCGGAGGCAAGCATCCGGAATGCAAGTTTCAAGACGGGGAACATGGGGTTGACCAGACGGTTCATCATTGGGAGATGGGGAGGTTGCGTTATGATACCTAGCATGGTTGAGTGAAGAGACGGACAGGGCAAGAATAGGTGGGATATGTCACGAGACGACCTTGTGGGTGTGCTGACATCTGGTGTGGGTTTGATAGGGCTTAGAGTATCGCAAGTAGTTCTGGGTGTTCGACGGCAGAGTGGATACATAGGGTAGGCAACTACGGTAGCCACGTTTTGCAACAAGCGAAAGACCTCCGAAGATACGTTGCTACCCTGGTTGGGAAACAGAAAGAGTGACGTATCCTACAAATCCTCGAAAGAAGTTCAGTTGATACCATTAGGAGAGACATGACTGGCCAACCCACTTAACTCAACCACGGAAAGACGTGAGCAATATGTCACAACCCCAATTTAACACCAAATATATATTTAACATACCGCACATACTTCTAAGCATCACAGATTTCCTCAAGTCGAAAACTTCTCACTACTATTACTCTTACTAAACCCGTCAAGCACTACGATAGCTCTTTCCAAAATGTCTACCACACCACCCAAAACCGGCCTACCCACCACCCGCCGCCTATCCACCCCAAACTTCTCCACAACCCCTCTCCACGCAGAAGCCCTGTCAAACATCTACGCCCCCATCAGCAAAAACCTTTTCCTCTCCAAACCCCCGTCCTGGAAAACAGACTCCATCGCGTCGCCCCCAAAATGGAAGGGCGAAAAACACATCTACAAAGACTCCGCTTACTACACCCTCGACCCCCGCGGCATACTCCCCTCCAAAAAGCTACAAGCAGCAGGCCTAGTCGAAATGCCCTTCCAAGCCCCCTCCACCTTCCCCCGCCTCCTCATACGCAAGACCGAATACCGCGACGGCCCCATATACCCTCAATTCGGGGATTTCCGCATCGACAAACTGGTTCGGTATGGCAAGGCCAATGTACCAGTCAGTTGCTCTTCCATCGGCACAAGCTGGGCTAGGAAATGTATCCAGGGAGCGGGATTAGTACCGGAAATGGGCAATATACTTTCTAATCCGCATATACGGAAAGAGCAGTTTCCGGCGCCGTTTTGCGAGTTGCCGGATGAGCAGTTTAGGATGTGGTTTGTGAGGAATATGGAGATGGTGGGGTGGGGGGAGTGGGAGGCGGGGGTTGAGGCGGAGAGGGTGTTGGGGAGGCGGGAGGGGGTTGCGGTTGAGGAGAAGGAGGAGGCAGAGAGGTGCTTGAGGTGTCCTTTGTCGAAGGAGATTAGGAAGAGGTTGGAGGAGATCGAGCGGAGGAAGATGGAGAGACGACAGAGCAAGATTCAGAGGGCGATGGAGAGGAAGAGCAGGTGTGAGGAAGTGAGGGATGATGTTTCCTTGTCGACAATGGAGGAGCAACCTGTGAAACAGGGAATGTATCCCGTCGAACGACGCGGAAAGTGGAGTTGGATAAAGAAGTTCTTTTGGTGGACATGGTTCTCATCCTCCCATCCTACATAGCAACGCAACGCAACCACCCAATCTCCCCTTACATAACCTTCGGCTGACTCTCCGCAAGCTTAATCTTCCCCGCCTCATCATACACAATCTCCCTAATCTTAACACACCGCAGATGATTAACCCCCTTACTCAAACTGCTATCATGGTAAAACAAATACCACTTCCCCTTGAACTCCGCAATACTATGATGCGTCGTCCACCCAATCACCGGCTCCAGAATGCGTCCTCCGTACGTAAACGGTCCAAGCGGGCTCTCTCCAATCGCATAGCACAAAAAGTGCGTGTCGCCCGTCGAGTACGAGAAGTAGTACTTCCCGTTATACTTGTGCATCCACGCCGCCTCAAAGAACCTCCTGTCGTGGTCCTCCGCCTGAATAGGCTGGCCCGCCTCGTCAAGGATAACAACATCCTTGACCTCCGAAGTGAAAGTCGTCATGTCATCCGAGAGCTTCGCTACTTTCGCGCAGAGCGCCGGTCCAGACGCCGCCTCCATACTCTCATAGTCCCCGCGGACAAACTCCCCCGTCTTCCAACACTGCAACTGCCCACCCCAAATCCCGCCAAAATACAAATACGCACTCCCATCCTCATCCACAAAACTCGCCGGATCAATACTGAAACTGCCCTTGATAGGTTCAGCCTCCGGTTTAAACGGCCCCTCAGGCTTATCGCCGCTCGCAACACCAACGCGGAAAATACCCTCCTTATCGCGGGCCGGGAAGAAGAGATAGTATTTCCCGTTCTTGGTTGCGGCGTCAGGGGCCCAGAGTTGTTTTTGCACCCAGGGAATGTCTTCTTGCTTGAGGGCTACGCCGTGGTCGGTGACGGGCCCGCCGACTTCTTCCATGCTGAAGACGTGGTAGTCGTTCATGTCGTATTGGTCGCCGTTGTCGTTGTCGGCAATGTCCGTCTCGCGGTCGTGCGAGGGGTAGACGTAGAGTTTGCCATTGAAGACGTGGGCCGAGGGGTCGGCGGTGAAGACGTGGGTTACGATTGGTTCTTTGTCTGCCATGATTGTTTGTGTTTGTATGTGTGTGTGTATTTCAGTTTTGGTTGATGTTGAAATAGATAGTTGGATTGAACTGAAAAAAAGCAGCAATGTTATATAGCTATACGTTGCCCTTCCCCATGGGCCCTTATGAATGGAGGGGTAGTCCGCCCCACGATGCCGCCAGCCGCTCTCCTATTTACCCGGCGGGACGGCTATCCTGAAGCCAAGCAAATTGCAGTTGGATCCAAGACGGTCATACCACTTAGTATTGCTCAATCGCGGTACAATGGTGTCCGCTGTGGATGAAGAGATGGATGGAAGTTCGGCGTGCTGTTTAGCCGTCTATTCTTCCGCCCGCACAAGCGCGTGCTTCTAGTGCTAACTGCTAATCTGCCTCGGGTCGGCGGGCGTCATGCGCTGCAACCGCGGGAGTCAAGTTCGCGCAAGATGCAGATCCAGGGTGCGGGTGACATGCAGGGTAAGAAGTTGTTACGTGTATCCAAAGACTACGTTGTAGGGTTCCTGCTTTTTATACCATGACCGATATCTATATTACTATAATTACATGTGCAGAATCGTGAAGACATCCAACGACGTCGCAACCTTGAAGCTGCATCAGGGGTATTAAATGCTCAGCCCAAACGCCATCGCTACCCAAGAACGTGATATTTCTTCTTCCTCGACAGCAGTGGCTGGGGTATCGGCGCACTTCTACCTGTCAAGATCTCGATACCACCGTCCATATTCGGCGGACTGCGTGCAGCAGTGCGGAACGCACTCGAGATCCTCATACCAAGAACTGAATTGGACGTGCGTCGGCGCGAAGTTGCCGCATGCGTAGGAACGGACTGCGTCTCTTTCAAAGTGAACTCCTGCAGCTCTTCGACAACGTCATGAAGGTCCCGGCGTCTGCCCTCTCCTTGGCAACGGGCCGCTCTAGAACACGTCAGCACACCTGCAAACTCAAGCAAGCGACAAAGCGCCAGGCTCAGGTCTGTAGGGGCTGGTACAACTTCATGGTCTTGTTCCGCACATCCGCACACTGCTGTAGCGCAGTGATGTGCTTTTCTTGCGCAAGCTTCCATGTTTCCATAACACTTTCATCCTCTTCCATCTTGGCCATGTAGCTCGCAAACCCAATTCCCCTGGTGGTCTCGCCGCGCTGGTGGATGAAGTGATGATCCAAGTCTTCCATCTCGCTGCTCCGCGCAGCAAAGTGGCTAGTAAGGGTTTGACAGTAGGCTCTGTAGGATTTGACATAGACGCCCATGTGGTCGAAGTACGTGTTCACGGAAGCCACATCCAGCTTGGTAGGTGGAATAGGTGCACGAGGTATCTCTGGATACTTGAGATTCTTTGCAGCATTTGCCTTGATGGGATGTGAGCTGGATGCGCCGGAAGGGAAAGGGAGAGCATCCATTACAGATCCCAAACCGGAAAGTCCGTTGTTTTGAGGCTCCACGACTGGATTGATCATGTCTGGACCAAGACCGTTCAGTCCTTCGGCTGGTGGTTTTGCAGTGGTCGCAGGAGGAGGTGCAGTAGCAGAGCCATTCGGCGTCGCCCCTGCACCTGCCGTGTTCAACCTCGGCGATGTACGCGTTCCCTTCTTTGCAGGCTTCGCGCTTGGTGGTGGGACAGGGTCGATATCCATGGCATCTACATCACCATTTGCTGGCTCTTCTGCAAAGGCCTGGTACTTGGACCTCGCTGAGTCGGTTGTTTCCTGAGGCTTCGACGCTCCGTTCTGCTGTACCGAAGCCTTTCGCGCAGCTTTTGGACGTTTCGTAGCCTCTGATGGTCGACGCGGCGATGTCTCCTTCTCCTGATTGTATACCCAGTTCGGATCTTTGAACGTCTCTTGCCAGGCTTGGGGACTGAACTTGGCAGTGTGTGGCGCCATCTTAGGCGGGGCGAAGTTGATACCCGGTGGCGGTCCCGGTGGAGGAGGAGGTATTGGCTGTCCGTTGGGCGCAACGGGAGGCGGGTCCATCGGCCGCGTGCTGAAGGGATTGCGGTCTGTCGCATTTCGCTGTGATCTGCCGCGGGTTGGAGAGGCTCGGCCTTTTCCGTTGGCACCTTTTTGCATGTTAGGAGCAAAGTAACTGCCACTGCCTTCGAACTTGCCATGCCAGTCCGAAGGCGAGAATTTCAAGTTGATGCTTTCTTCACTCCTGCTCTTGAAGCTGTTGGGTATGTTCCCTGGCACGCCGTTGCTCTGTCGTTTCGGATCAGGAGTCGTGAAGTTACCCTCTGACCAGGTTGGCGGAGGCGGTCTTGTAGTTTGAGGTGGTGGAGGAGGGTCACGGTGCTTGTTGCCAATGTTGGACGCTTCCGAGTCGGATTCTTCGTCGCTAGAGTCGGGATATCCATGAGCGAACGGGTTCGGCTTCGCGCTGGCCTTCTTCCCTTGTGTTCTGCGACCCGAGTCTGAGAAGGCGCCCCCATCTTGCGAATAACTTGCCCGGTGCGAGTGTGTTGGTGAGTTGCGCACACTGGACGACCGTCCAAGGCCTTCGAACATGGAGGTGCGCTCGCCTGCTACATGGGAGTGATATGGTGTGCGAACGCGATTGGCCTCTGAGTATGGGACGTCGTCGGCATGGCTATCCATATCAGGAGTCGTGGACATGGGTGGGGTTGGAGCCGGACGGGCATAGTTCCTATACGCTGACCGTGCCTGGCCTTCGTCGACGCCTGGTGTTGATGGGTCAAACCCAGTCTTAGACGATGGGACCCTGGTGCTCTGACTGCGGCCAAAGGGAGTGCCATTGGGGTTGTTCTGCGGATTGGTGTGCGGACTGCTCTGGGCGCTTGGGTTGTGCTGCCGAGGGTCCTCACCCCGTGGCTGCTTCATCTTCTGCCATGCCGTGAAGACATTCGCGCGAGCCTCTGCATCCCTGGCCTTTGTGTCCGGTCGTTGTGCTGTTGGTGGCGCGCGGAAGTTCCTGCCCGAGAACCTGTCCGCACCGGTGTTGTATGTGCTGTGGTGTTGCTGCGGTGGGGGAGGGCGCTGGGCTTGCGGCTGCGGTTTCGGCGGAGGTGCGCGATAGTACGAGCCTTGTGGGGTGGTTGTCGTGTATGCATTTCGCGGAGGCGGCGGCGGTCTCGTTCGCGGTGTGTTGGGCGTGTGACCAGGAGCAGATACATTGCGGTATTTCCTTCTATCGGCGTCGTACTTGGCTCGTAGGCTGGCATCGCATAGTATCTCGTGTGCGGCCTGGATCTCTTGGAAGCGGACGACGAATTCGGCTTCGCGCCCGGGGTTCCGATCTGGGTGGTACTGCAGCGCCAGCGTTCGGAAAGCCTTGCGGATCTCGTTCTCGCTGGCCGTCGGGGATACCTTCAGGTCGGCGTAGTAGTTTCGCGTGGCATCGGCTTTGACCATGGCGGCGGTATTGGCGAAGAGACGGGAGTGAAGAGGCTGGCGGGAGGTTGCACAGTGCGCGCACTCTGCCCTTGTAGGCAGCTCTAGTCGTCAAGCAGCCTGGTGGGGGTTGCCCGTTGACTGCCTTGTCGTGTGGCAGGGCAGTGCTGCTCAGATGATGCTGGCTGCGCGTGGACGTCGGAACATGGTAATGGAAGCTGAACCACGGAAGCTGCAAAAGTCTGGATTAATCGCTCGGTCAGCCGCATGTCGTCAGTGTTGCAGAGAGTGTGGTTACCCTTTGCGTCTATTGGAGCTGCGGTCGCTTGTTGCGCTGGCGAGGTGCTCTGCATGTGTTTTGGGCTGATGTTTTGGCTGAGAGGGGCCTACGGCAACGCTTAGCAACGCCCGACCTGGCCACGAGAAGAACCCTGTATTAATTCCTTCTGGGCTCTCGAATATCATCTATGTCGCAATCGTCCAAGCATGCACGGAAACGTTCACAGCAAGTACAGCGCATTAATCTGGGTTTTGCCGTACGTCTGACGTCGATGGTGCAGCTGTCTTACCAATACCGGTACCGGTCAGCCACCCATGTGAAAGTCCTGTATTCGTTCTTGGCTATAGCAAGGCATACTCGCTTCTCCGAACATGGTCCATACGACGCCCTCCTCAACCGCAGCAGCGTCTTCACATTTGATCCCCGACATTTCACATTGCAACAGATAAAAACTGAAGTGTTGTCTTCGTAAAGATCATGAATCCGGTATGATTTTGAAAGTCCTGACAGCTTTTTTGCTGCTAGGAAGCTACGTAGCCCAGGACACCCTATGCCATTCACGCCAGCCCATACGCTGAAAACAATCGACCAGACGTTGCACCAAGCACACCATATGCTCAATGCATTTAACGGTAGCGCCAGAGGGAGAGGGTGTTGTGCCTCTTCCAGGTCTTCCTCCTTCCAGCGGTGGTGTTGTTGAACTTGTGTCCACGGCCGAGACCACGGCTCTTCTTGCCGGTGGCGGTGAGACCACGAGCCTCGCGGTGCTTGTGGACGGCCTTTGTGATCCAGTTGATGCGAGGATCGCGGCGGATGGCCTTGTGCTGGGGGTCGACGCAGATGACCTCGTAGTACTTGTAGGTCGAGTCCTGGTTGATCCAGTAGGAGTTGAGCACGCGCAAGTTGGCGCAGCGGCGGCCGATACGCTCCTCAGCGGTGGACTTGAGAGAGCGCTGGTACTTGAGCTGGTTGATACCCTGGTTGGTAGGCTTTCCTATTAGATTGTCAGTCTTTCGTTCCATAGCAATTCGATTGCATGTTGCGTACCGTAGGTGGCGCCCCTAGAACATGATGTTAGCATAGTCCTCTTATTCAAGATGTCGATTGCACGTACTTGGGAGCCTGCCTCTTGCGACCTCCACGGCGGACGCGGATGCGGTAGATAACGTAACCCTGCTTGGCCTTGTATCCGAGACGGCGGGCCTTGTCGGGGCGCGAGGGGCGGCTTGCGCGGTGGATGACCTTAAGTTGGCGAAGCTATCGATGCACTCTCAGCAAAGTTCAACGAGTACACCAATTGAGACATGGGTCTCGGGATAATCATACCTCCCAGCACTGTTGCAATGTTAGCAGGGTCCTTTGTCCAGCTCAATCGGTTATACGTACGCGAACGCGCATCAAGAAGCGCATCATGTCCGACTGCTTCTTCTTCTGAAGTTCTTCGACATCTGCGGCGGATCAGCTACGAGCGGGCAATTGCGGTGTTCGGTGTGCGCTTACACTTGAGGGCACCCATCTGCGGTATTGTTAGTATAGAGTCGACGAGGTTCAGCAATATTGGAGGGACGTACCTTGACTGTTGGTTAGTAGATTGTCGACGCTGTCGTGCTGGAGGTTGCGAAAAGATGATACGACAGGTATTTCGCACTGTGTGGGCGGGGCCGTGCGAGGCGCTAGCTTGACGAGGTAACGCGCAGCCTGACACGAGTCGGTCAGAAGAACATGGCCCCGCCGGGCCTGACGAGGAGGTGCGAACACCAAATCTTAAGACAAGTGCGAAGACGGTTTTCTTGTGTAGCTGTATGTAACAAAAGTAGAGTGACGAAGCTTTCATATCTAGTGTTCTTCCCATGAGCAATGCTTTGAAATCGTTCTTGCGTGGGTTGGAGTCTGGTGTTCTGCGCTGTTCGCTGTAAACTCCGAATTAGGAAGTTCTTCAAAATCCGTCGATTGCCGGTGCTTGCATTGTTACCACGAGCTGTCTGAACCATCGCCATGCTCATGTCCCTCATGTTCCTCATGCCCACACACACATCGCCTTCAAAACCACAATACCGCTCATACCTAGCAGCCATCACCCATCGGCAGACCCTTAACCATCCTCTTAACACCCCTCTCCGCATACCTCAGACTCTTCTGCAGCTCATAGTTCAGCTCCACCTTCTCGCCTCGTTCCATATCCACATCGCCATCTTCATCCGTCATCACAGAATCCTCCACATCCGCTCCCAGCACCTTCTTGACATTCCTCAGCGCAACTCTCGCGCCCTTCTTGAGCTGCTTGTCCGTGTCCTCGATGTCCTGCTTCCATGTGTCTGCAATAGTATCGGGCTGCTCTTCTCGTAGTTTCGCAATCATGCCGTCAAGCCTTTGGTATTCGTTGACGAGGGCCTCGGATGCGCGTAGGACGCTGGTGACGGAGGTGTAGACTGCGTTGCCTGCGATTTGAGTGCCTGCGAAGGTTTCGGGCTTGCCCTTGGCTGGTCGGTTGGGGGTTTGCAGGGCTTCGAAGACGGTGGAGGTGAGTTCTTCGCGACGGCGCTCTTGTTCCTTCTCGCTACAGTGGCTGTTAGAGTAGCATTGCAGATGATGAGAGATCGACTCACGCTTGGAGCTTTCGCTGTGCTAGTAGTGCGTTGTACTTCTTCTGATCGGCATTTATCGTGGCGCGGAATTCCTGCATCTGTGTGTCATCTTTCTTTGGCTTCTCGAGAAGACGACTGAGTGAAAGCATTTGCTGGCTCTCAGGCGCGGGTGAGGCATGTCGGCGCGCCATGGTTGAGATGGTAGGGTTGGTATGTGAAAAGGTGAGATGATATGGCAGTTTGGTGAGGAAGGTGCCACCCGGTGTCAATATTTGAGGTAGGCGTGAAGGCGACATCACATTTTTAGTTTACAGAAAAATCCTGAAATATAGGCCGGGAGGTACTCAATCAGCCCACGGGCTTCAGGGATTTTATCTCTGGGGTGCCGGGAGGTAGTCGAGGTGTTGAAACACTTCACGAAAATTAGGCCAGGAGGTATTCAGTGATTTTGGCAGGGTCATCTCAAACCTGATATATAGGCCTGGCAGATACCACAACATTCACAAAAGACAGTTTTTTGGTGCCAGAAGCATTCTCATTTCGCCATATAGGCATAATATATAACTAAAATACACGCATTTATGGGGAATTTTTGGTGGTGAAAGCAAGAAAAATCAAGAAAAATCATGAAGAAAAAATGACTTACCTCACCGGGCAGTCTACATAAACCTTGAACTCATGGGTGAAAAGGAAATGAAAAGGAAATACCATATAATGACCAAAAACCGAAAAGAAACCTCGAAGAGAACTTGACTTGACAGTCAATTCTGTCTTCAGTTACCGAAAGACAAGTTGTGCATAGCACCATTCAAGGTGCTGTCAGCGCCAGTGTTGGGGCGACCACGTCCTCCTGAGGCGCCATAGTATCCTCCAGGAGCAGCTGAGGTGTACTGGGCATTGGCGTAGGCGTTGGTGTAGCCACCGCCAGCAGAGTACGAAGCGCCACCGTTGTACGCGTTGTGATGCTGATGACCGAAGGCGTGGCCGGTACTGGAGGTGTAGTTGCGCGAGGCAGCGTATCCAGCAGTAGTTGTAGCAGGCCCATACCCTCCACCGTATGACGAAGTGTAAGTCGAAGGTGGATAGTAGGCTCCAGCTCCATAGTTCATCGGGCTGCCGCTCGCAGTGACATTGGGGTAGTAGTTACGGTACATCTGCTGCTGCATCTGCTGACCGTGAGACCAGGGCTGCATGTTGTACGAGGGTTGGGTAGGGTAGGCCGGGATCTGGTGGGAGAACGCGTGGAAGCCGTCGTCGTAGTTACCGTAGTTGCCCTGGGTGCGAGCTTGACCTGAGCGATAGTTAGCAACCATGCACACGTGGCAAGGGGACGACGATGGACTTACCGTATTGCTGGGCCGGGCGGTGAGTGTTGGAGCCGAAGCCAGGGCCGACAGAGGAAGAAGCATTGCCGCTGTTGGATGTGATGATAGCACCAGGACCGATGGCAGAAGGCGGCGGGATCTGAGACATGCCGGCAGGGTTGACGACGGAGGCAGGGTTGACAGCCGACATCCAGATGCGCACCTTGTACTGCTTGAACAGGTCGGTGACGAGCTCGTTGAAGTTGACATACGACTCGGCGTAGTAGAAGTAGGTCAGCTTGTGGTAATCACTGAAGATGTTAGTATGATGAGAGCAACATGAACATGTTTGACTTACGCCTGGTACTCAGCATCGAGGATCTCCATAGGCAGCTTGTGGTCAGCGGCCTTCTGAGCTCCGAGACGCTTGGCCTTGGCCTCTCCACCCTCCTTCTCACGTAGCGCAGAGATCTCATGGGCCTGAGCAAGACGCTTGATCATCTTCGGCTTGAACGGTTCAGGCTCACCCGAAGCAGTCACTGGGGTACGGCTCATGGGGTTCGGGAATCCGTTAGCACGGGCGAGGGCGCCGAGCATGCCGGAGTCGTTCTGGGTGCCGGCCAGGGAGTACTGAGAGAACATGACGAGCCAGCGGAAGTGCTCCTCGTTCGCATCAACCTTGAGCTTCTTAGCCTCCTCCATGGTCAAGTCGGCATGAGTGATCTGGCCCAGGTCGCATCCACGGTCGCCTTCGGTGATGACAAGGTCGCCACGACGGATCTCGAGGCCGGTGTTGTCGTAAAGGTAGTAGATGTCGGCACGAGAGCACTTGAAGGTGACAATGTACAAGCGGCGGGTGGGGTTTCCGATTCTAGGAGGGACCGCGTAGGGGTTGCCAGCAGACATGGCCATGTTGGGCACGACAGGATCGGGGTGAGCTGCCGAGATGGCGGAGGAGTTGATAGCGCGCGAGGCCGGGCCGTAGCCAGTGAAGTAGGCAGAGGCGTCGAAGGGCTCGTCGTCCTTGTTGCCACGTGGGCTCTGGCGGGGTGAGACGTACTCTTCCTCTTCTTCCTGAGTGTTGCTCAAGGTTGAGAGCGGCATGGCTGAGTTGTAGCTACCGTAGTGGGCGAACGAATGACGGCGGCCGAGGGGGTCCATCTCAGCAGGTGAGATGTTGCCTGTGGTCCACTGGGGCTTCTGAGGGCTGTCCACGATCTCGACTTCGTGATCACGGTTGAGGACACCGACGTGCTCGCTGAAGCGACGGGTAAGGCCTGGGGCAGGACGGTTGACCGCAGGCTCAGTGTCGTCGAGCTCTTCGATGGCATACTCACCGGCGGCGTTATACGAAGTGTTGCGCAGACCGGCGGTCGTCTTGCGGCGCTGCTGCTGAAGTTGAGAGACAGGGGAGCCAGTGGAGGTAGCCCTGCTGCGGGCGCGAGCGTTCTCCATGGCGGCTTGTTTGAGCAAGGCTTGCTTCTGCTCACGCTCCCAGTAACCGGCGGGCAGGCGGACTCCGTGCTCTGAGCCGTTGGAGGACTCGATCTCGTCGGCGTCGTCTTCACGCAGCTGCGAAAGGCCGACAGCGGACTCACCAAGGAGGCTGGGCTTGGAGGGTCGGTGGCGGAGATTTGCGCTGGTGTTAGGCTGGCGCGAGAAACGGCTGACAGGACTGTGCTCGATATCGCCTTGACCTATGCTATAGGACTGGGAACGGACGGCCTTGCGGAAGGGATTGGGAGCTTGTTGGTTGAGCAAAAAGCCAATACCGTTACCGTCGTCGCCTTCAACTGTGGTGGGGGAGGGAATAGGCTTGTCGGTGGGTGCGAAAGCAGAAGTAGGGGAGGGAGCGATCTCTTTGTTGGGTCGATTCAAACCGTTGAAGCTAGGCGTGTTCCAGGGGAACGACGACGTGGACGGACGGGACTGCTGGGGCAACTCGAGTGACGGTGTTGTGGGCTGTGAGCCGGCAAACGACACCGAGGGCAGCGAGAACTTCCGGTTGGGCTGGATATCTTGGAGCCAACCAGAAGAGGGACGTCGAACACCGAGAGGGTAGGAGCCTTGCGCAGGGCGAGTAACGACTGGCACATGCTCGCGGTCGTCGTCGCTGGACGCCAAGACATCGCTGTCAGGGGTGGGACGCCGCAGTTGCAACTTCGACTTCTCGAGCGCTGAACCACCGACGGTCAAGCCGCGGTTGTAAGGGTTATTACTCATCATGGATGGTCTACCTTGAAGACGTCAGTGATCTCCTTGTCATGGATGACAAGACAGTGGCTGGACGTACCTTGAAGAGTTGCTGGAATGGGGATGAATAGGGGGGTGTCTTGATGCACACTATCTGCACACGGAAGATGTCTGTGATGCACAGGGTAGATGCTATGTTGCGTGGTCGAGGGTGTAAGAAGATGTAATGTCTAGGCAGGTGGTGTGTCTTTATGTCTCCTTCACCTCTAATCGCAAACGCGCAATATGTTAGCGCCGACGTCATCAGAAGGGGCGATAAGGAGCGGGGTATTAAGGGTGAGAGAGGTAAAGGCAGCGGTGAAGGTAGACGTGAGGGCATACGTGGGGGCAAACGGTGAAGGTGGCCAGCCAGCGTAGGTGAAGGGCGGGGCACT